GTGGGTGAGACAATTGGGCGTTCAACTTTTATCTCATCTCAGGTTTTTGCACGAGACAACCATCTCACCCACCCACGGAGCCCTTCTTGAAAAATAGGTTTTATAGGTTCAGAAGAAGTGTATCCATAATGTGCAAGCATATTGTTTGTTCTGAATCACGAAACACACCAGTACAACCTTTCCATTCCTTCCCAGACGCAAGCCTACTACTATCTTGCTGGAGAGAGCGCAGGGTGCCGCGCCGCGTTTCCCCCCTCCCTCCCTCCCCAACCCACTTAGCACCCATTTTGATGCTATAAGGGTGATTGTAGTACGTCAACTGAAGCTGAGGTTATAGGCTGCTCTCATAGTCCGCGAGCGCGCGAGCGAGCCTGCCAGGACTACTCGTCCAGCGGTATCGACGGAGATTTAGTTGTAAAGGGGCAAGCGCCGCCACAATCGCTCTCTCGCTCACGCGCTCGCGGATCAAATCGTGGACTATGGAAGCAGCCATAGGGACCACCACGACAAATAGGATGGAGATAGATGCATCAGAAGCAATCGAAAAATAAGAAAATCGCGTGACCATCTCACTCTCGAAGTTTGAGCTAAAGTTATATTGCTTCTTTGTATGGAGAGTCAGAAGGTACAAGAGTAAGCAGAGAGCAGCTAGAACTGAAAATTCACGCTCAATATTCCCACCGATGAGAATTGTTCTATTCAATGGCATACTACCCTTTTGTGTAAACTCTCCGATTCGCTAACCTTTCATGAGACCTCTTTGATCACCTTGCCGAGCACGTTGCTCGATATAAGATTCTTAATATTGTCCTTTCTATCTAGTTTTTTGTGACTACCACTTCTCTAGGACAACGATACTGCTTTCGTTTCTATCGAATTCGATGTTTAATTGGTTGAGGGTTGGGATTGCCGAATTAGACGCATAGATAAATGAATAATGACCATGAACAATGTTCAAGCAGAGCGAGCTTAACTGCTCGTGATTCATGCAGAAGAGGATGTGGATTAGTGGGCGCCACCGCGCCCACTACAGTGAAACTGTATACACGCGCGCGGTGACCTTCGGTGGTCCTGACGCGGTCGCCCTTACAGCGGCACTTCTCATGGATCTTGCTTGTAATTGTATCTTTCAGGGTGAAGCATTTAGCGCTGAGCGCATTATTCACCACCAGACCCGTACGACATTGATTAACGCGCGCTGTCAACAGAGAGCATATGGACAACGCGCATTAATCGACACGGTATGAGTTTGGAGGTGAATGATTCCTTTATCGACTTTATCGGATGTGTTATTCACTTTTTGATTTTTTGCATTCATACAGATATGATAATCTTCTCCTTCAATACTATCGTGTAATGTGGCGAAAGGACATCATTATGGAAGAGCTCTACGTAGTTTCGCTTAGAAAGTAACATGCTCCAATGCAAAGACCATCAGCGACTGAGTGGACGCTAAGTGGCTTCCACGCTCCGAGTTCAAAGCCCAACACTCGGTCGACTCTCATCGCTTTACTACGAAAGCCCCGGTTAGGGAACGAAGGCATGCTTAAGGAAGACGTCCCTCCTCTTCTTCAGTACTCGCGTTTTGTACGTTTTCAGATTAGTTCTTTTCTTCTTGCGAGAACACATACAAAAAAAAACGAGAAAACATTCGAGGTTCTCCTAGATGTAGCGTTACATCGACCCCAGATGAAACATCAATATTAGTGCACTGCTAAGACAGTCGTATCAAGGCCATGTGCCGTCGATGAAAATCATTTTTGGAGTGACTCACAGGAGGACGAACCGTCTTATCATGAGCCAGTAA